GTTTCAGGATTGTTGATTCTCTGTTTGGCTTAGTTTTTTGGATCTTTGTTGTGGAGGGACGGTGTGGTGCTTCTGCCTAGACCGCCATCTTGCCGAGTCTCCTAAAACTTACTTTTGAAGCACTGAGTCTGTGTGTAATCTCTCCAGCAAACCTATAAATATACATGAAGGGGCCTTTCCACCCCTTGGCTGCCTTTTCAGGTTATGTGGTGTTGCTCCTTCTTCCAAGGCCAGTCATTCTTCATGAACCCTGCCTCCCTTCCCTTGACTTTCGACCTTCCCCCAAGAACCTCCTGCATCCATTTCTGTCTCATCAGCTTCATTCCGTCCTCTTGCTCTCAGCATAGAAACACCCTCTATTCTGTCCTGTCTCAGAATTCACATTTTCATCATCAACTGCACACCTCTACCCTTATCACTGTCTTTTTTTTTTCACCGTTCATTCCTCAAACCACTACTTCACTGAAATAGCTTTGCTGAGATTTTCAAGGACATTTTTATTTCCTTTTCTCTCTGAAACATTTTGACACTCTCCTTACTGAAAGTCCCTCCTGTGGTTTCCATGGCATCTTATTCCTCTGGCTCTCTCTCTCTTATATAGTACTATCTTCAGAGTTTCATTTCCCATTGGTTCATCTTCCTCCACCTTCCTTTAAATGTTGGTGCTGTCTCCTCCACCGACCCACCCCATTTCCATCCTGGACCCTCTAGTCTTTTTTTACTCTGTTTCCTCTTCCTGGGCCATCTCCCCTCTTCTTATGGCTTGACCATTACCCCTAAGTCACTAGCTCCAAAATCTACTGTTATCTACAGCCCAGATATCCCTGCTGAGTTCCCATAAAGGGTATCCAAAGGCCTACTAAATATTTCTGCCTGGATATTTCAAAGGAAACTCAATTTTAACATATCCTAAACATCATCTTCCTGCTCAAATTTGCTTCTCTTCCAGTTGTTCCTAGTTGCCATAGAATTTCTTTCATCTTTGTATTCTCAATCTTAAGGTAGAGTCTGACACAAAGAAAGATCTCAATAGATGTTTGGTGAAGAAATGAGTAAGCTTGTGTGGGCATATGTTTCTGTGTGTAATACCACTTAAGAATTTTTTGGTTAAAAGTGTCAGAAATAGACCAGGGCTATCTTAAGTAATAATGAAATTTACTAGAATATAAGAGACTCAAAGAACCTGCAGGAGACAGGAAGAACTGGCTTGGAAAATGAGCAGGAACCAAGGCACTCTCTAAAGAGCAAGAAATAGCACAACTATTTTTCGGCAGGAACCATCCATCCAGGATACCTTGGTCTCTGATGCTACAGAACTTGGTCATTGTGTTGGAGGACAGCACAGGCTATTTAATCACTCTGAACCTTTGTTTTCTTATATATGAAGTATCTACTTCATAAAGTCATTATACAGATTGGATGAGAATATATATATGTGTGTATATATACACACACATTATATACATTATATATGTGTATGTACATATACAGATATAAATTATACACATAATAACGTTGTTGTTCTTGTTAGGTGCTCTCGAGTCAGTTCCGACTCACAGTGACCCTATGTACAACAGACCGAAACACTGCCCTATCCTGGGCCATCCTCACAATGGTTGTTATGCTTGAGCCCATTGTTGCAGCCACTGTGTCAATCCATCTCGTTGAGGGTCGTCCTCTTTTTCGCTGACCCGCTACTTTACCAAGCATGATGTCCTTCTCCAGGGACTGATCCCTCCTATATACTATAGATACAGTATTGGCGCAGTGCTCAGCACATCTTATTTAATCTCACATTTTGCGCATGAAAAAACTAAGACTCAGGGAGGTTAAGTAACTTGCTGAATTAACACAATGTGCTTTGCACATAGTAGGCACACAGTAAGTATTCGTTGAATGAATGCGTTTGTTTCCAATATTTCACTAATACAATGTTGTAGTAAATATCTTTGAACACATATATTGCCAAGTTTTGTCAATGTTTCTAGAGGATATATTCTTTCCTACAAGTGCAATTGCCGAGTCCAAAGAGTCTGCCATATTTTAAAAAACTGCTAACGGGACTTTCATCCAGTACTTAATAGATACTTCTTGTGCCAATTTTCTTCTCGCGATGCCTTTCGAGAGCTGTAGTTTTCGCGATGCTTGCTGGGAATTGTGGTCTGAGCTAGTTCTCAGGAAGCGGGCGTGAACGAGCCTATTTTGCCGGCAGGCTTTAGGACCTGGAGGGGCACGGCGAGCCGGGGTCGGGGGAGGTCGGGAGCGCGCCCGTGAGCCGGGAGCAGCGGCGGCTTCAGTGGCGTCGGGAGCGAGCCGACCCGGGAGCGGCGAGGGTATAGGAGGAGGAGCCCGGGGCTCGGTAAGCAGCGCTGGCCCGGGCTGGTCCCCGAACCTGGCCATTTCCCGGGGATCCTGCCATACTAGGCCTTTGCCCGGAGGCGGCTCTGTGGGGAGGCCTAGGGGCGGGGCCTGCGCTTGGCGAAAGGACGTCGGTGGTGATTCGGGAGGTGGGGACGGCAGCTGAAGCGGGCCAAGGCTGCTTGCGGCGCGGGGGGCTGGCCCGGGGGCGTCTGAGCTGAGCGAGAAGCCGCTTGCTCCCGTCAGCGGCCGTCAGTCGGAACACCCGGTGCCAGTCAGTTCCCTCCTGCACCCCGTCTCTGCTGGGCCCGCCTCGCAGCCGAGGCTCTGACATTTGACCCCAGCACGGGGCTGACCCCGACCTCCCCTCTCAGGTTGTGCCTGCCCCTGGGTGGACTTCAGCCCAGCCTGGCTGAAGAAGGAGGGCGTGAAGCAAGAGGAGGGTTACAGGAAGGCCGGTTTGTCCGAGGTTTTCAGCCCGGAAGGGCCCCCACCTCGTCCCTCTTTTTCAGTCTCTGTCTCCACATAGACTCAAGGAAGCTACCATGTTTTTTCGGGGTTAGTTGGTGTGAGCTAGGGAAAGGAACCCGTTCCCGGGCAGGTATGGGGGTGAAGCAAGAGGACGCAAAACTGGATCCTTGGGAAGGGGAGTTATCAGGAGCTGAGGAGTGCTGCTACTGGAGAATAGGGAAGTAGAGACTTGGGTCAGGCCCCAGGTACGTTTCTGGATCATCAGACCCTTCTCGGTTATTCCCCCTAGAAGAAGTTTTGAGCGTAGGGAGATCGGTTTGTTTGCTGTTCTGTGCTCTTAGTGACCTTTATAAACTAGAACAAATATGGTTTGTGTCCCTGCCCTTAACTTAGCACGAGTTAACTGAAATTCTTTTAAGTGTGCCATCAGTTGGATTTGTGGGCACAGTACTTCTCTGTGAAGGCTCTGGGGATATCAGATCAGCCAGAGTCGAGGGAAAGGTGGACCCCCTCTTGTTAGGATTGCAAAGGGGGAATTCTAATTCTTTGCTTGGTGAATAGGGGAGCCTTTGGCATTTTCGTTGAACTTTTAGCGTTATCATTTACTTGTTCAGCGTTTCTGTAATGAAAATAAAACTTGAAAACTCCAAAGCAGTTGTTATGTGAAATTTCGCATGGAGTCTAGTTCAGGAAGCCATAAAATTTGGGGAAAGTGCCCAAATAACAAATTGATTCAGGATATATGAGTGTGAACTGTTTATTCCACACACATTTATTGAGCACTTACTGTGTAACTGACACTGGGGTTAGAAATATGAATACTTTTTCTCAAGGACATTAGAGAGACATATTCAGATGAAAATTTGTAGTACTTTTTGTTATGTATCTATATAAAGAGATTGATATAGTGTGAAGGGGCCATTGTCTGGGAGAGTAAGGGAAAATAGTCACAGGGAGGAGATACTTGCATTGGATGTTGAAGGATGAGTAGGAACTTGCATAGGTAAGGAAATGCATTCCAGAGACAACAACATAAGCAAAGGCATGGTAACAGTGTGTGTGTGTGTGTGTGTGTGTGTGTGTGTGTGTGTGTTGGGGAGCGGGGGGGCAGGCATGGTGTCTAAGTCTCAACAATTTGTCTAAAAACAAGATGTGTGGTGGTGAAATTGCCAGGAGATAAGGCTGTGGGAGTGGGGAGCCACTGGAGCTTTTTAAGTTAGGGAGTGACACAAGGGCAGATTAAAGTAATGAGAAATGAGGCAGTGAGACTGATTAGAGTTGAAGTTGAAAAGTGTGGTAGTGGTAACGAAGAGGAGGGGAATGGATTTTAGACATATTTCTGAGATAGATGCAACAGGACTTAGTAACTGTTTGGGGAGAGGGGGTGTGGTAAGGTTTCTAACTTGAGAAACTGGTGGATGGGGATTTCATTGATTAACGTATGGTTAGGAAAAGTAGACCAGATTTTTTAAGGGTTGGAGTGGGCACAGAAAGAGATATAGAGGAGATAGTCTCTTATGCTGAAATCAAATTGTTTGTGGATTTACACATGGAGATGTTAGTAGGCAGCTAGAAGTAAGGAGGCCTGGTGAGCTTGATATTTTGGCGGTAGCTCTGAGGGCATATATGAATAACATCTTTGGAAAAGATATTTATTTTGTTTGTTTATAAAGAAATCTCAGAGTATGCACTTCTTCCACTTAACTGTGAACTCCTCAAGGCAGGGACCATAACTTAGTAATTCTGGAGTTCGTTTTTGTCTTACACTAAACCAAAAAAAAAAACCAAACCCGTTGCCATCAAGTTCATTCTGACTCATAGCGACCCTATAGGACAGAGTAGAACCGCCCCATAGGGTTGCCAAAGAGTGGCTGGTGGATTCAAACTGCTGAACTTCTAGTTAGCAGCTGAGCTCTAAGCCACTGCACTAGCAAGATTCCTGTCTTAAACTAAGGCTGTATGCTTTTAAGGTCTTTATAAGTGTTAGATATCAAACTAGCAGGAAATCAATTTATTTTGCACAGTTGCAGTTACCATTTGAGCTTCCTTTAAGAAGATCATGGGAGTCTGTCTTATAATTTTCATTTTATACTTAGGTGGTATTCATGAGGCTTGTATGCTTTGAGAGGAAAGGAAATGAGAACATATGAGTGACATTGTGCTGCTTGAGGAAGTGCAGGAGATAGGCAGTATTAATTTATAAGAGCCTCCTGTACATTGAGAAGAGGATCTTACAGTGAATTCTCATTTTGGGAGATGTCAGAAAAATGTGGTTTTCAGTTTCCTGAAATCTTGTCAGCTTGGGGTTGGTTCCTCCTTCTGACGGTACAAGATAGTTTGAAAGGGAGCCTGAGGTAGTCATGTTTACTTAAACCTCTTCATTTATATTATTAGCTTGTGAAACTAGGCAGACCCAGTAGATGCTGATGGGACTGGATTGAATTCTCTTCTCTGAAGCTAGTTCATGTCTAGTACACAGACTTATGGGTGATATACCTAGAGTAGAGATTTCTTCCTGATTTTGTCACTTGTTGGAATAATTGAGTTACTTCTGCTTTCAAGCATTGGCTAAACACTCACTTAGAGGTGAGCACTGTCTGGAGCACACGTAAGATATGGACGCCACCCTCTAGTAGCTCATGTGCTTACTTCATTAGTTTGGTTCTCTTCTAGCATCCAGAAAGTAGGAGTGATGCTTGTCAGGCATGTCCTGAGTTGACCGACTTTTCTTGGATAAAGTGGGAATGCTGATATCATGTATATCAGCTCAGAGTTTCTGTAGAATTGTAACTAACTGAGTTTGGAATTTGAACGTTCTATTAGTTAGCACTTGATTTTTTGCACTAACAGGACATTCTGACAGGGAGAAAGGCTACCAGAGAGAAAGATTTAGTAGCTTTACCAATCACTAGCTGTGTTACTTTGGGCGAGGTAAAATCCTCATAGTAAAATAAAGTAATAGTACCTACTTCATCTGATTTTTATAAGGTTTAGACGTTGTTGTTAGGTGCCATCAAGTCGGCTCTGACTCAGCAACCCTATGTACAACAGAACGAAACACTGCCAGGTCCTGCGCCATCCTCACAATGGTCGTTATGCTTAAGCCCATTGTTGCAGCCACTGTGTCAGTCCATCTCATTGAGGGTCTTCCTTTTTTGCTGATCCTCTACTTTACCAAGCATGATGTCTGTCATAGATAAAGTTGTATCCCCCAGAAAATGTGTGTAACAGTTTGGCTGGGCCATGATTCCCAGAATTGTGTGGTTGGCCTCCATTTTGTGATTGTAATTTTATGTTAAAGAGGATTAGGGTGGGATCGTAACACCACCCTTACCCAGGTCACATCCCTGATCCAATGTAAAGGGAGTTTCCCTGGGGTGTGGCCTGCACCACCTTTTGTCTCTCAGGAGATGAAAGGAAAGGGAAGCCAGCAGAGAGTTGGGGACCTCATACCATCCAGAAAGCAGTGCTGGGAGCAGAGCGCGTCCTTTGGACTGGGGTCCCTGCGCAGAGAAGCTCCTAGTCTAGGGGAACACCGAAGAGAAGAAGGCCAACAGAGAAAAAGGTTTCCCCTGGAGCTGATGCCCTGAATTTGGACTTTTACCCTACTTTGACTGTGAGGAAATAAATTTCTCTTCGTTAAAACCATCCACTTGTGGTATTTCTATTATGGCAGCACTAGATGACTAAGACAATGTCCTTCTCCAGGGACTGGTCCCTTCTGATAAAAGGTCCAAAGTACATGAGATGATGTCTCTCCATCCTTGCTTCTAAGGAGCATTCTGGCTGTACTTCTTCCAGGACAGATTTGTTCATTATTCCGGCAGCCCATGGTATATTCAATATTATTCACCAACACCATAACTAGATATATATAAAGCACTTAGAACAGTAGTAACTATATAGTGAGTACTTACTAGTGTTATTTATTATTACCTTGGATGGGAGGCTTTGCTCTAAAAGATTACGAGGAATGAGAGATGAATTCCATCCCCAGGAATTAAAAAAAAAAAAATGATAGAACAAGGGGATGTTGGTCTCTCTGTGGAGGGAATTCAGAGAGGTGGCTTCAAGAATGCAGGCCCCACTCTATTTTCATTTTGGAGAGAGAAAAGACTTGGAGTGACTAGCAGTGAAAACCATTACAATGGAAAGGGGTTATAGGCTTGTTTTAGAGCCAGTCTGTGGGATGGAATTGGGGGAACCTTTGTTTCATGCTACTGAGAGAAACCCTGGAGAGGAACCATGTGGAACAGTTGGTTGTGAATCCAGTAAGTGATCCAAATCACTGATGTTTTCAGGAAACAGGAAAGAGGCATGTAAGCAGCTAGCTTGAGAAATGAGGAGATGGAGTTTGGAGGTAGAAAAACCCTGGATTCTCTTAAATGCTTATAGTGCTAGTATTTACCTCCAGAGAGTGTGGTAGGCCTTGCAGTAGGACTTTAGGATTGGGTAACTTCTACCTAAAGAGGTGAGGTTGAAAACAAAACAAACCCTTGCGCCAAGAGGAACTAGGAAACTTAGAGGAGT